CCCCCCCGTACACCGACCGGTCTTCTATCTTAAACTAGCGGTTTTTGATTGATTATATTTAAGTTGGATGATTTTAGGCTCTAATATATTCAGCATAATTTATCAAGCTCCAGGAGATTTATTTTACATACATGAAACCATTTTTATATTCAAAATACATTTTCATTCGATAGAAACTATTTGGAAACCATTTTGTGAAATTCAGAAATCATTTCCGTCTGTTAAACTTGATCTTTATAGGGCAATCATTGTTTTTTTCCTAAAAATATGCTCAAACTCTTTATCATGAAAAAGATATCATTCTTTAAGAAAAGCATTGATTTTTATAGAAAAGTTAATTTATAAATTTTCAATTTTATTTCAACACTCTGTATTCAACACCCTGTATTCAACACTCTTAATTCAACACCCTGTATTCAACACTCTAAATTCAACACCCTGTATTTTTATTTCCCACACTATGATATTGGAAGGTTTGGCTAATAATTCTATCAAATATACCTTTATTCATAAGTCTCAGAAAGAGAATTTTCGGAAATGGATTTATTTATGTATTATATCTACATATTTGAGTGTTGCCCACAAATGATTAACTTCAAAGACGACTTTTATTCTCCGTACGTATTCATTGGTTCCTTCGAAAAACCTTAAAATATTCCAATTAAGGACTACATTAGAACCTTCTTTGTACATATTCACATTTTATTATTTTAAAGGGATTATCTTTAAAATATCTATTGGTGAATTTCCCGAAAGTATTGCCATAAGTTAAGGAATTATTTTAGCATTCTGAACACACCAGTTTGGTCTTGTATGTTTTATCTGTATATTATCTCGATGTAAAAACAAATATATTATCTAGATGTAAAAACAAATATATTATCTAGATGTACAAACAAGTATATTATCTAGATGTACAAACAAATATATTATCTAGATGTAAAAACAAATATATTATCTAGATGTAAAAACAAAATATATTATCTCTTATTTTCAGATTTGATTTAAGATGAAACTATGATTCAGAAGCGATGAATAATTCCTCGCTACGATGAATAAGTGAGGATTGTTTCAAGTTTTATTTTTCAATAATTTGTTTTTTTTGGTTTACAGAATAATATGTTTACTACAATTAAATTCCCAAAATTACAACCAAATGGATATTTCTGCGGGACAAATATAATTTATAATTTTCTTTTCACAGAAACCATTTTTCTTCTAGGTTTGTTCTTGTTTTGTTTTGCTGTTTTAAGCTTAGCAAATCAGGAGACTCTACGCGGCGGGTTGGATCAAATCATGGCTCTACGCGGTGGAATAGATCAGAATCTAGTGATTCAGGCGATTCTGAGCACTTCCATGATTTTAGCAATTCTACGGAGCATAATGAGAACTTTTCCCAGTATTTCCATCCCACCAATATCACAGACTCTACGGAGTCAATATTTCCGGTAAATTCCACGCAGTTGAATCTTGTGATAAACTCATCTCTAGTGAACTGGAGATGTCCCAATATCTCAATACCAATCATTTTTAACCAGCTCTCCTCCTCCTCCCCCTCCTCCTACTCCTACTCCTCCTCCCCCTCCCTCTCAACCCCTCCCTTGTCTTGTCAGTGCGAAGTGTCCCGAACTCTGCGTTGTGATGGAGTTGTATCCGGGAACAAAAAACAGACCAAACATATTTTATCCACTATAATCAACAGTATTAGGAAATTCAGTTTTTTAATTTAAAACATTTGAACTTTTTAAACTTATGAAACAGAGGAATTGCGTTCAACAATTTTACTTTATAATTTTCTACAAAAGTCTGATCTTCATTCAACATTTTCAAATAGGTGTTTTTTACCTTGTTACAAGTTTCAAACTTATATACGTGATGGGCATAATTTTCGGGCCATTTTTTAGACATTTTTTATAGGTTAATGAATGTTTCACAAAAAATTTTAGGTTCTAATTCAATTTCAAAATTTTATTCTCAATAAGTTTGCTTTACTTACATTTTTGTGATTTTTTTTCTTTGATCGAAGATATAAACCAAAACAATTTGTTCAAACCGAACACTTTTTGAAAAATTGTTTTTGTTAATATCTATGGTCTGAATAAAACCTTTTCACAATATAAGGTGAGTAGCATGCAATTTTGAAATAAGATTCACATCTCAGATTCTTGTGGGGCCTCTGAAAAGTCAATAAACTTAGAATATTTAAAAATAACAAATAATGTGTGTCTTCAAATTTAGAGAAGTTATGTAAAAACTGAATTTAGGAATAAAGAAGAAAATGAGTCGATTACACTTCTAGATCTTTCTATACAGGGGGTTCAGTTCATACCAGTCAATATATTTCAGGTTATTTAAACAAACAAAATTTCACATTTTCGCAAGAATATGTTATAGATGATTAAAGCAATTTTGAAGTTTTTGTTCGATAAGGTTGTTTGTTTATCAAAAAAAAAATAAAACAATAATAAAAATATTTAAAATAATTAATTATTATAATAATAATAATAGTAATGATAATATCATAACCGGTGCAGCGAAACAAAATTCGTTTGTTAAATCAAAACCTAGTAAATGTATAATCAGATTCAGAGACAAATAACAAATAAATTATTTAGCGTTCTTCCTGATAATGTTAAGATTTAAGAAAAGGACTTTTAATCCTCGTTACAATGGTTTCAACTGTTTAATAATTATTTTGTTGGAAATCAAAACAAGATGAGATTAATCTTTATAATTAAGCTCTTCGCTCATATATTTATATAATTGTTTATATATATATATATATTTATATATTTATATATTTATATAAATGTTAGCTATAGCTGTCAAAACGGCTGGACCAAATTGGCTGAAATTAACGGAACCCTGGGGGCACCAAAAGCTAAAAAATCTTTTTTTTCTTCAAAATTCAAAAAATAAATTCAAGTGTTTCTAACATTCCACGGGCAACGCAGGGCACTTAAGCTAGTATGTTTATATTTGATATTTTTAGGATCTTGATATCCGAGGTCTAGTTTTATCCACAGGAAACCTTGTCAATATTAGTAGTAAATCATTTCAGGTAAATACAATATATACAATATATACATTCCAGGTATACAATATATATATACAATATATATATATTCCAGGTATACAATATATAAACAATTATATACAATGTATACATTCCAGGTATACAATATAATATACAATATATACAACGCATACATTCTAGGTATACACTTTATAAAATATATATATATTTCAGGTATACAATAAATATAATATATGTAAATTCCAAATATACAATGTATACAATATATACATTCCAGGTATACATTACAAGGCCTCCAGGGCGCTTCTCGCCCATCTTCGATTTTCGACCGGATTAATCAATTTTTTCTTGATTCTTTTGCTTTTTTGTTATATTTTTGTCAATAACCAGCCCTTGTGTCATATAAGGTCTTTTAAAAAATTGGGCCGGGTCGAATGTTTAACCCTATTTATCCTGACGTCTAGTTTCATGACTGGTTCCCTGGGGGTCAAATTGATCCCCTCCCCCCTCTATTTTCTTATTGTGATACAAATCTATACCATTTGGTACGTTCTTGGAAAGCCCTTGGGCTCTACTTCAATAATCTGCAAAAAATGGCAATTTTGCAAAAATCCAAATATTTACTGCGAAAATTGCAACAAATTATACATTTTTGGAAAGCCCTTTACCCAGCGATTTCAAATATGCAAAAACATTTGCAAAATTTTCTAAACCTAAATCTGCAAATTCCTATTAAAGGGGTCTGTGCAAAAATGTGTGCTACATTTTTTTCTAAAATTGTCAATCTGGTTGCTTTTGTTACAGGCTTTCCAAAGAACTAAAAAACTTTGAAATCCAATGACTGGAAGTAGGTCTAAATGTAGATTTAGTCTGGTATAGGTAAAATAAGGCATTTAGGCAGTATGCCTGAGGACTCACGCAGTAGGTATAAAATGCCAGCTTTTAGCCTTAAGTGATGGGCATGTGTTAGTTAGAAAAGTCAGAAAATTTGAGTTTCCTAGCTTTTTGGTCTTTTTTTTGACAATTTTGGATAAATTGTAATAAATCTGTCAATTATTAAGGGATTCTTAAGTGTGGTACCATTTCGGAAATAATTCAACTTGGTTATTCCGATGTTTGACAAAGAAATTTGAATTTTTTTGTGTTATTTTTATGGTCAAACATTTCAAACAAGGTTGAAAATCCCTTTTTTTACCTCTCGTCAGCTTCATTTAAGATTGGAAAAGTAAATCAATTTAAAACACATTACTATTAAAAACGCGGAAGTAATTAAAAATTTTTGAATTTGATGTTTAAGACAGGTACACCGGGATTTATTGATTTACATTAAATTTAGTAAATTCCTTCACGTAAAACTATTTTACTAACGTTTTCACAATTTCAGGGGTTAGAGGATTTCTTGGTAGCACTTGGTCTTCCAGGGAATAAGCTAGAGAGTATTCCTTTACAAGCAATATCCATACTCAGAGGTATATATCCAAACTGAGATTTATGTACCCATACCTAGAGGTTTACATCCATACTCAGAGGTATATATCCATACTGAGATTATATATACATACTCAGAGGTATATATCAATACTGAGAGGTATATATCCATACTCAGAGGTATATATCCATACTCAGAGGTATATAGGTATATATCCATACTGAGATGTATATATACATACTCAGAGGTATATATCCATACTGAGATGTTCATATACATACTCAGAGGTATATATATAAATACTCAGATTTATATAAACATACTCAGAGGTTTATATCAATACTGAGAGGTATATATCCATACTCAGAGGTATATATCAATACTGAGAGGTATATATCCATACTCAGAGGTATATATCCATACTCAGAGGTATATATCCATACTCATAAATATATATCAATACTCAGAGGTATATATCCATACTCAGAGGTATATATTCATACTCAGAGATATTTATCCATACTCAGAGGTATATATCCATACTCAGAGGTATATATCCATACTCAGAGGTATATATCCATACTCAGAGGTATATATCCATACTCAGAGGTATAAATCCATACCTAGAGGTATAAATCTATACCTAGAAGTACAGAACAATACCTAGAGGTATATATCCATACCTAGAGATATATATCCATACCTGGAGGTATATATATCCATACCTAGAGGTATATATCCAGATGTTAGGTACTTTCCCAAAGGATTTCTTCCATGCGGCAACTTCCCATGGGTATTTTCCTAAGTGGCAAATTCCTAAATTTGCAATTTCCCAAACGGCAACTTCCCAAGTCTGTCCTAGCCGCAGCGCTCGGCCCCCTGCCCAACCTATCCTTTGGGAAGTTGCCTCTTGGGAAATAGAAAATTTGGGAAGTTGCCGCTTGGGAAATTGTCATTTGGGAAGTCGCCCTTGAGAAAATGCATTTGGAAAAGTACCAAACACCTTTATCCATACCTAGCGGTATATAACCATACCTAGAGGTATATATCCACACCCAGAGGTTTATATCCATTATCCACACTCAGAGGTATATATCCATACCTAGAGGTATATATCCATACCTAGAGGTATATATCCATACCTAGAGGTATATATCCATACTCAGAGGTATATACTATATATCCATACCTAGAGGTATATATCCATAATGAGAGGTATATACTATATATCCATACCTAGAGGTTTATATCCACAATACTGAATACTGAATACTGAATACTGAATGCTGAATACTGAATGCTGAATACTGAATACTGAATACTGAATCTTAAATACTGAATACTGAATACTGTATACTGAGTACTGAATACTGAATACTGAATACTGAATACTGAATACTGAATACTGAATACTGAATACTGAATACTAAATACTGAATACTGAATACTGAATACTGAATACTGAATACTGAATATTTAATATTTAATACTGAATATTGAATAGTAAATACTGAATACTGAATACTGAATACTGAAATTGAATAGTAAATACTGAATACTGAATACAGTATACTGAATACTGAATACTGAATATTGAATACTGAATACTGAATACTGAATACTGAATACTGAATACTGAATACTGAATACTGAATACTGAATACTGGATACTGAATACAGTATACTGAATACTGAATACTAAATACTGAATACTAAATACTGAATACTGTACACTGAAACTTGATACTTAATAATGAAAACTGAATACTAAATTCTGAATACTGAATACAGTATGCTAAATACTGAATACTGAATACTGAATACTGAATACTAAATACTGAAAACTACTTAAAACTGCATATAGCATAACCTAATAACTTTCTATTTGTCAAGGTTTGACTAGATTAGATTTATCTGGGAATAGTCTAGGAGGAGTGTATAGTCTACCAGATCTACCAGATCTAGAATATCTAGATATATCCAGGTATAGTCTACCAGATCTAGAATATCTAGATATATACAGGTATAATCTACCAGATCTAGAATATCTAGATATATACAGGTATAATCTACCAGATCTAGTTTTTAAATTACATTTTCTCAAGATATTTTATAGTGCTAGTTGAGTGCCTTCATGCATTAGATTTGTTATATTCAGAGAGTTATCAGGAATATTTTATTGATTTACCGATTAGTGATAGACTAATTAATTGATTGATAAATGTTTTGATTGATTGAACTGTATATTTCCAGAAACCGTATAGAGGTTCTTGCTGCTGGTGTCTTTCAAACCCTTCCAAACCTTAAGCATCTTATTTTGTCAGAAAACAGGTTATTTTGTATCCTAGTATCCTAGACTTCTATCCTTGATTGGTATCCTATACTTGTTTCCTAGTCTAGTATCCTAGACTAGTATCCTAGACTAGTATCCTGGACTTGTATCCCAGATTAGTATCCCAGACTAGTATCCTATACTTGTTTCCTAGACTAGTATCCTAGACTAGTATCCTAGACTAGTATCCTAGATTAGTATCCTAGACTAGTATCCTAGACTAGTATCCTAGACTAGTATCCTAGACTAGTATCCTAGACTAGTATCCTAGACTAGTATCCTAGACTAGCATCCTAGACAAGTATCCTAGACTAGTATCCTTGAATAGTATCCTTGACTAGTATCCTAGACTAGTATCCTGGACTAGTATCCTAGACTAGTATCCTAGACTAGTATCCTAGACTAGTATACTAGACCAGTATCCTAGACTAGTATGCTGGACTAGTATCCAAGACTAGTATCCTAGACTAGTATCCTAAACTAGTATCCTAGACTAGTATCCTAGACCAGTACCCTACACTATTATCCCATACTAGTATCCTAGACAAGAATCCTAGACCAATATCCTTGACTTATAGTATCCTTGACCAGTATAATAGTATCCTAGACTAGTATCCTAGATAAGTATCCTAGACTAGCATCCTAGACAAGTATCCTAGACTAGTATCCTAGAATGGTATCCTAGAATAGTATCCTAGACTAGTATCCTAGACTCGTTTGGCACTCATATTGAGTGCCAAACTATCTGATTGAAATATTTTGTCATTGTTTTAATACTATCATAAGTAAGACTAAATATATTTAAAAGTTATATTTTCCTAGACTTGATTTGAATAGTATACGTGAGTACAACTTGAACCATCTTTCATACTTGACTACATTAGATCTTAGCTCAAACCTGCTCACTGGGCATCTCAGGTAAATTTAGCTCAAACTAACTATTTAATGAATATGTATAGATTCATATATTGTTAAGATATAGATTGATGGACAAGATGTCATTTCATAATTAAGTTTGTAAGATGTAATGTTATGTTGAATTATTAGGTTTTTTTCCCAAAGGCATTTTTCCAAGTGACAATTTCCCAAGTGGCAACTTCCCAAATGTGCAATGTCCCAAGCGGCAACTTCCCAAAGGTTAGGTAAGGCCCTTTGAGGCGCCGCAGGCTTTTATGGGGGACTGAGCTCTAGGGCTTGTTCAGACTTGGGAACTTGCACTACTCATTGTTGGGAAGTTGCCATTTGGGAAAAATTCCGTTTGGGAAAAGCCTTTGGAAACGTACCTAACATCAATTATTATCGTTATCATTATTATTATTGTTACTATCATTATATTAATTGTTACTTTTAATATTTTTATTATTATTTTTATCATTATCGTTATTATTATCATTATTTCTATCATTATTATTATCATTATGATTATTTTTATTTATATAAACAAATAATAATATAAATATTTAGAAGCCCTGTCTTTGATCTTCTGCCCTCAAATCTGAAGATATTGGATATATCTTTCAATAATCTAACAGGAAACAAGAATATCTTCAAATTCTAGTGATGCTGCCAATATTGATAGTACAGCTTGGTCCATAAAATACAATTTACTTATTTTATATTAAAGATATTGTTTAAAACTTTCATGACTGCCAAATATACTTTTTATTCTTGTATTTCTGGATATATTTAAGATTTAAGCATTTAATTGAAGTTTAAATTCTAATAACATTTAATTTATAAGGATTAAAATTTATAACAGATTTAAATTGATAAACATTTATATTGTTAAAGATTTAAATTGTTGAAGACTTAAATTGATAAATGTTTAAATTGATAAAGATTTAAAATAATAAAGATATAAATTGATAAAGATTTGAATTGATATTGATTTAAATTGTTAAAGATCTAAAATGGATAAACCTATTTTTTTCTAAAGATTTTCTATGTTTGAATCAGGACTGGAGTTAAATACTTTTAATATTCTTGGATCTTTGAACCAATTATTTCTTCAGGTGAAACTTTTAGAAACCTTGAGCTACAGTTAAGCAATCTTATGTGTTATTGATTTCGGCATAAACATACTTTTGTAAAATGTAGATTAAAAATAATCTGTGGAATTGAGTCTTTGCCTCACATTTTCTAATTCCTGAACCTTCGCAAGCTAATGACGAATATTGATATTTCAAACTTAGATTATTTGATCTATCAGAATTCATAGTTTGAAATATCAAAGTTCTACGAAATTGGGTTGCAAATATAAAGGGATCAGAAAACTGAATTTTGTGGCCAAGACTCAATTCTCTTACGGAAATATGTAGACTAAGATAATCCTTTTTTCTAGCTAAAAATTAATTATTTTTAATTCGATTCGGTCATTCAACTCTTTAAGGTTGAAATTACTCCTGTTTATATTGCCACCTGTTGATAAAAAATCTAATTTCTTTTTAAATTATTTAAAAGGGAAATTTACTGGATGAGATTGAAGACGATTCTTTCTCTGGTTTATCTCGCCTTCACAACCTAGATCTTTCTCATAATAATATTCTTACTCTCAGGAATGATTCAACAATAAAAAATCAGATTTTTCTTCTTCATATTTTGCAACAAGCTTCATTATATGTGAAATAAATAATTCTTTTTTCCTCAGACATTAATTTGGTGTTAGGTTAGATCCCCAGCACAACTTCCCCAACACAATTTCCCCAGTCACAACTTTCCCAGCAGCAATTTCCCCAGCCGCTAATTTCCCCAACACTAACTTCCCCAGTCACTAATTTCCCCAACAGCAATTTCCCCAACACCAATTTCCCTATGCAGTCAAATTCTTTTCCCCACACAGTTCCAGAATGATTTAGATTTGTCCCTTGACATTGATTGTAGGTTGTACTCATACTTATTGGGATCCACCAGAACATTTCTCTTCTTCGAGAACAGTGTATAAACTGCCAACATTGTCGACTCTAATCCATCTGATTTTTCACATTCAAAAAGTTGCGAATTTTTATTTTAAAATTGCGCATTTGTTCATTGGAATAATGTTAAAAACGGAAATATTTGATATTTTACTGCATGGGAAAATAGTTGTTGGGAAAGTTGCTGTTTTACTGCATGGGGAAATTGTTGTTGGGGAAGTTGGTCTTGGGAAAATTAGTGATTGGGAAAATTGTTGGGGAAATTGATTGTTGGGGATGCTGTTGGGGAAATTGTTTTTGGGGAAATTGCTGTTGGGGAAATTGCTGTTGGTGAAATTGGTTGTTGGGGAAATTAGTAATTGGGGAAATTGCTGTTGGGGAAATTGCTGTTGGGGAAGATGTCTCGGGGAAGTTGTGACTGGGGAAGTTGCGCTGGGGATCTAACCTAACACAATTAATTTAGTCTATTAAACACAAATTAAACATTTCAAGAGATTCAAAATGTTAAAAATTAAAAAATTTACCAAACAAAAGAAAATGAAGAAATACTGTTAAATATTGTGAATCATTTCCTTAGTGATAAATCTTTCTCTGGACTAACGGAACTAGTTTTCCTTTCCCTTTCACATAATCATTTACAGGTTGTATTCTTTATTTAATTTCCTTTCCCTTTCACATAATCATATACAGGTTGTATTCTTTATTTGATTTCCTTTCCCTTTCACATTATCATTTACAGGTTAAAATCTTTATTTGATTTCCTTTCCCTTTCACTTTATCATTTACAGGTTATATTCTTTATTTGATTTCCTTTCCCTTTCACATAATCTTTTACAGGTTATATTCTTTATTTGATTTCCTTTCCCTTTCACATTATCATTTACAGGTTATATTCTTTATTTTTCCTGATACATATATATGTATATA